CCTGTAATCCAACACTCAGGAGGCTGAGGCAGGAGGACTGTTGCAAGTGTGAGGCCAGCCTGGGCTACACAGTGAGCTCAAGGACAGCCTGAACTGTGTAGCAAGACCCTATATCAAAAGACAAACAAAAAAAAAAAAAAAGAAGAACCTGTTACTTTATTAAATGGGACAACCAGGAAGGAAGTGAGTATGGGTAGATGTGACTCTTGTCCCCCTCCCAGATGTGGCCGTGTGACCCCTGCTCGCCAAGGACTCAAGGGTCACAGCAATGTCCCCTCCTTGGTGGAAAACTATGGTTGTTGTGACAGGGACGAGGCCCTTGGGAAGTACCACGCCGAGCCACACAGGACCAGGCTCCAGGCAGGGCGGAAGCCTGCCTTGGCTTTGGCCCTGAGACTTCCGATTTGTTTATTCCAGCGTCTCCTCCACCCTGTCTGACTTGGAGTCCAGGCCGGGGCAACAGAGAGGCCATTTGATGAATGCAAACATTTAAAATAAAAAATGCAAAGTAAGAAACGGATGTTTGATGTGGCTGTTCAGCGGCATCCCTCACCTGCTTTCAAAACTGGCTTCTACCTTTTATTTTAATAGATGGCATCAAAGAAAAGAATGGGTAAGCAGCCACAAGTGCCAGCAGCTTAATTTCTCTTTAAAAATAAAATCTTTTGGATATATATATATATATATATATATAGTCAGCAGTTGAACTCAGGACCTTGCACTTGCTAGGTAGCCCCTGTACCCCTGAGCTCTACCCCCAGCCTAATAGGACCTGTCTTGCTTGCTGTCCCCAGAAAGCTTAATTTGGCTTGACACAGCGCTTTAAACGATAAGAAGTCGCCGCCTCCTGTCCCACAGTTGAGCCCTTGCCTCACTGTGCAGCGCGCTGGCCTTTAGTTTGCAGCAACCCTCCTGCCTTGGCCTGCTGAGTGCCTCCGTCACAGCGTGTACCACCACACCCGGCTGTCCTAGCTGAATTCCTAATACCACAGCTTCTGACCTGTATTTCTTGCCTCTCACATAAAGGCTCTAAGGATGTGACAGAGCCCTGGCTGGGAAGAAGCACCATCAGCTGCCCAGAGGCTGGGCACCTCCCTCGCTCTAGAGTCTTCTATGGCTCCCTGTTGCCCAAGGAAGGAAGCCTGAGAAGGAGCTGATCCAGAAAGGCGGGAATCACACGGCCCCCTTGCACAGGGGAACAGAGAAGAGGCTGCGGCCCAGGGCCCTCTCCGGGGAGCCCAGTGTCTGCTTTCCTCTCCTCAAGACACTCTCCAGCCAGAGCAGATGGCGTGCAGCCAGCCAGTAAGTACAAGGAAAACAAAGCGCAGGCCACCCCTGCCTCGGCCTCGGGGACGGCGACGTCACATAGAACCTGCCCACACTGAGGCCTAGCCTGGATGAGAGCCCCTGTGGCTGGGACATGGGAGATGGGAGGCGCTGCCCAGGCCACAGCGCATCCTAGGGCGAGAAGCCGGGGCTCCAGCAGCCTGGAAGATGGCGGGAGCCCAGACAAAGAGGCTTTGAGCAGCCAAGTATGTGGGGACCTCTGGGGGAGCCTGGGCCACCCCCACGAATGTCCAGGCAGGCGGTCACCAGGAAGAGGCTTCACCGCTACCACGCGCACCTGAGCGGGGCGAGCGTCGCACGGGCAGGCCCAGAGATGTGAGTGGCTTTGCCCAAGGCCACAGACTGAAGGATTTGAACTCTGGACTCAGATCGTTTTTCTGAGAAGAACAGCTGGGACTCATGCAGCTGCTCTGTGCCTGGAAAGTTTCCCAAGTGCCGGGGCAGCAGGTCACGCAGAAAGCCTGGATTCTCTTCCCACCAGGAGACAAAAGGGAGCCGTACAGGGCCAGAGGCAGGAGGAGGCAGGCAGCAGCCCCAGGGTGTGCAGAGGTGGCCCATTCAGAGCCCTTACGCCAGGCAGGGCTGCTACACACCAGCAAGGCACACGGGAGACTCCCTATTTATTGCTGATGCTGTTTGGTTTTTTGAGACAACTTCTCACTGTTCACTTCAGGCTGGGCTTGAACACACTAGGAGCCCACGCTGGCCTCAAACTTGTGGAGTCGCCCTGCTTCGAGCTCCCAAGTGCCAGGATCACGGGCATACACCACCATCCCTGCTCACGGGAAGCTCCTTGTGTCACAGAGCAGGAACCCGAGGGAGGGTCTGCGGACATGAGGCGTCGCACTTTCCTCAAACCCAAGGGCCAGCACCAGGTGGGAGTACAGGCAGTTGTAAAGGACACGCTCAGAACTGGCCGGCGACCCCTGCTATAAATACGGTGCTGACTCGGGTAACCTTAGCTGCCCGCCGCCCGCCTGGGCGCTGGGCCATGCATCCCTGAGCCGGCGCCTTCCAGAGTCCCAACTTTCCTGGTGCCCTGAGGAGGCGCTACGTTGTGGCAGCCTCCAGATGCTTGTGGGCGACACGAAGCTTACTGGCTCCAGAGGGGGGTGCTGCTAGGATGGAGCCCCCGACTGCCCCCGGCCTGCCCCGCGCAGGGAGCTCCGCTGTGCAGCAGCCCGCCTTGGGGTCCTGTGCGCATGGAGTAAGGGACCTCTTCAGGCCTCTGCCCTCGCAGTTCGCAGTGGGGTGACTCTGGGCATGTCATCTGCCCCCTGAGCTTCAGTTTCTTGGAGTGCACAGCCCTGTCCCACGTGCACAGTGTCCACTGTGTCCCGGACAAGCCCAGGCACAGTGGCACACACCTGGCTTCCTCCACTCCCTCCTCCGGGTCACACACCGGGCCTCACTATGCAGCCAGGCTGACTGAACTCCGTGGTGCTCCTGCCTTGGCCTCCCAAGCTCTGGGGTCACAGGTATGTGCCGCTGCCCCTGGCGGGTCGCTTAATTCTTATCTCCACTTGAAGATCTGATGTCTTACTATTATTCCCATTCAACAGAGGAGAAAGCTGAGAAGAGCTGCCCAAGGTCACACGGGTGGTGAGTGGGGAACTGAGACTGTTCCCACAGTGGACACAGATCCAAGCAGGAAACCTAAGTGACAGCAGTCTGCAGGGGGCCAGAGTCTCAGACAGGCCCAGATGTCAGGCCTCCCACCCCAGGGGACTCCCTTCATCACCACAGCCCCCCCACTAAGTGGATATCCTCCTCTGCCCAGGGCTCTGGTTCTGCCCACCAGGCTGTCTGGAGCCAATGTATCACAAAGGCCACAGCCACTATTTTGTATCCTGGAGCTGCCCAGGGCCCATGACCCCAGCAGGACAGAGTGGGTCGGAACCAGGTCCCACCTGGCAGCCCACAGGCACATCTCCTCCGCAGGTCGCAGGTGGAGGCTGCACACTCAGCGCCTACTGCCACCACTGGGCTACTGTTGTCTCGGCCTTCCTGAAATACTCCCCTCCCTGGGTGGCGTTACAAGCTGCTAAAACCAGGGCCGCTTCCCGGTGGAGGGAGAGAGCTATTCCGGGGCTGCGTCAGGTGTGGGGCTCAGCCAGCCAAAAAGGCTGTCTGTGGCTCCCCTGGCCCCAGCGAGCGGTGCCTGGCAGCCATGCAACTGGCACCAGGGAGACAGTGAGGCCAGGCTGCTGGGGCAGGCACCTCTCTCCCAGGACATGCGTGCATGCACACACTCATGCGCACACGCTTGCACACCCAGAGCCAGGCCCAGGCACTGGGATGGCTGCAACCCCCAGGGCAGCTGCCGGTGCCCGCAGGATGCCTGGCTTGGGTGCGCGCTGGCTGCTGAGTGCCCATGACACACCAGGCGCCGCAGACATGCAGCCAGCACTGCACTGGACTTCCCCAACCACCTGTGTGCTGGGCACCAGCTCCCCGCCCCCACCCGGGACAAGGAGGCTCAGAGAAGGGAAGCCTAGCCTGGAAGTGAACGAGCTGGCACTGTACAAAGTGGCCTGGCTCCAGGGTCCCCATGGCCTTCTGCAGCTGGCTCCAGGGTCCCCATGGCCTTCTGCAG